CCACCGCACTGCGCCTCGCGCTGGAGGCGGCTAGGCCCTGGGCCCCCAGCTCTTGGTACCCACCCCTCTGCCAGATGCTCCAGGACGGTGCGCGATGGCGTGAAGGGAAAGATGGGGAGTATCCTCTTTCTGGATCCCCGCAGCCCAAGGGTTAACATCCAAGTCACACGCGGAGGCGCTGGTTACAAAGGAGTCTCTGCGGGCGGGCGGGGGGCGGGGGGCTTGGATCTGCATTTTAGGCAGCATCTTGCATCCTTTCCTGGCTCACACTCCTGTGAGACCTGGCCGGTGGGAAACCCTTGGAGGTGGTGCTTGGCACTGACCTTGGAAACTGGGTGCAGGGTTGTGTGTTGGGTGGGTGGGTGGGTGGATAACTCTCATATGGAAAGGATCTGTTACTTCCATTAGTCTAGTCTCACAAAGGGATGTGCGGATGTTAGAACAGGCTTCTCCGGATCTCTGACACTGCGCTTGGAGGACTGGCTGTGGGGTAATTTGGGTACAAAAAGAAGCATATCTACAATTAGGTCCAACTGGGCACTGCCACTGGCTGCCCTACCCCTTACCCCCCAAGTTTCTGGCTTGTTCTGCTTAGTGTATAATCTGCTCCAAACTCTTCCATCGATTCACAAAGAAAACTTAATTTGTCCCATACCCTCCAGTTACTGATGTCCCACTTGTCTTCCCTTTTCACTAAATTTTTTTTTAAAGCCTGTGTTTATTGCCTCCAATCATCGCGCACCTACTAGAGTTTGGCATATAGCCATACCGCTTCATGAAATTTCTCTTGCCAGTGACTAGTTGCCAAATTCAGTGACCATTTCCACCCTGCATTTTGCCTGGCCTTTAAGCAGCCTCTGTTCCTGTTACCTACTGTGATTGAAACTCTACGCCTTTGGCTTGTAAGGCAATACTGTCTTGGACTTTCTTCTTCAAATTTCTTCTCAAGTTTTGTACTCCGGTTCCTGTGGGAGCCCCTTTTCTTACCCCCACCCTTTACAAGTTGGTGTGCCCCGTGTGCTGTCGCCCTAGACCTCTTCCTAGGCAATGCTATTATGTATCACCAGGTACATGCTGATGACTTGTCTCTCTGCCCACTTTAGAAGCTAATAGGTTAACCTGTAACTGATTCATGGATGTTGGCAGGAAATAGGAGACTCCTGGGTTAGAGATAGAGGGCTTTATTACTCAGGGCACAGCAAGTAGCTGCCGTGTCAGCATATTTCCAGCGATTCCTCTTACCTTCAAGTCCCCCGTGAGCAAGTGATAGGTCCAGATGGATGTAGTGCGTTTAGGATCACAGCTGAACAGAGCTTGGGGAAGCTACTACTTTTAGACAAAGCAGTAAGCAAGTCTGCTCTTGACCCTGGAGGTAGAACCTTATCCCTCAAAGGTGCTTAGGACAAGCACAATACCTAGAAGGTGCCAGGTAAAAAGTGATCAAAGCCTTGCATTCTTGACACACACATCAAGATGTGTAATAGTGCAAGAGGTTGAGCACTGGACACTTTCATACTCAACAAATTAGTACACCCTTCTCCCGGCCTCTTCCTTTCCTTTCATACCTGCTCCTGTCTCGGCTCTCTGTTACATGGATGGCAGGTCAGAAACCCTGGAGTCATGGCGCACTGTCCTTTTTCTCAGCTCTTGTATCTGCTCAGTCAAGTCCGGGTAATAATGCCCGTGATGGTTAACTCTTCCATTGCTGGGCATTCACCATGTGCTCTATCTTGGACGGTGTACCTATCGGATGCTATTTAATCTTTTCAGCAACTTAGCAAGGTTGATTTTATTACTGTCCTGAATTCACAAGTGATGAAACAGAATCTTGGAGAGGTGAAGTGACTTGCCCAAGATCACAGACAGTAAACAACAGAACTGAGACTTACGCTAAAGCCTGGCAGACTTGGAAGTCTATGTTGTTCCACTACTTTGTGTCACTGATTCTACATTGTTTTGTTTT